GGCTTTCCACATGATGGGCTTTGGCTGAGTGGTCCAAGGCCTGAGTTTTGGAATGCTGAGTGCCCATAATGCTATTTAGGGTTAATGGGAGCACAGACTTCTCAGCAAAATGTAAAATCAGGCTTCTGCACTCAAACAGGAGATTTAAGTTTAGCAGTCACAAGACTACTTAAATGATCAATCTGAATTCTGGATTCCTTCTGGAACTGATTTTTTTTTCTTTTGCAGAGCCTGAGTTACGTCCCATTATACCCCTTTGTTTTTACTCATTTTCTGAGCATTACTACTCTTTTAGTCAGTATACAGCTAGTAGAACAATTGACACATAAAAGGAAGAGAATTCTGTTATAGCAGATTTACTTCTTCATAATATTTTATCGCATTAGTCTTTTTTTCTATTGGATTAAATGGCAAGAAATTAACTTCTGCTGACATGCTTAAGAGTTAGAATAAGAAATAAAACAATGTTCCTTTACATGTGTCTGGTGGATTTTTCAAGGCACTGAACTATAGCGTTTTGGGCATGTAGGACAAAGTCTTTCTTTAAACATGCTCTTATTCATATTCTGTTCATAAGCATTATGTTCCCCAACTTGAAATCAATAATCCTCAATTCTTGTCTAGCCCAACTCTTTGAGTTTTCTTATATTAATCTAAGTTTCAGTTAAAAATACATCCTTGTTCATTCTCTGCCTTAGTCAGACTTGTTTTGTTCCCTTGTTTTTCACTGAAACTATAGTATTTCTTTTGTTTCAAGCCAGGTGATCTGTTGGATCTTGTGATAAGTGCATCCAGTGGAAGGTGGAGAGGCATCCACCAAATTCATACAAGGCATCTCATAAATATATTTTGTCTTTTCATTTTTAAAACAAATATATTCCTTTGGCTTGACTCTGGATTCTGCAAGGCATTCTGATTTTCTGTGGCTTAATTTGAGTAAGGTAAGTTTTTTAATGCCTGATCTTCAACCCACAGATTAGCTTTATCTGTAGTCATGGCAGAAGAGAAAAGAATCTATGTGGTTTCTAATCCCTGTTACTTCTTAGTGATAGGAGTTACTCCTTTGAAGGTTATGGTTGAGTTTTCAGTGGGCAGCAGATTGAAACCATTGCAGGAGCTGCAGTATTAGGAGTATTCATTGCAGCAAGATGCCTTACCCAACTAGAAAAACCTTCACTCTTTACTCCTTAACACACTCTTCCTCTTATTTTAGAATGCAGTGGAAACATTGTGTTATTAATTACATTTTCCTAAATGAACTTGCACATAAAGCTTCATTAAAACTGTGGGAACTGCATTACACTAATGTGGTCTTGTAAACACAACAGAATTAGGAATTGTGGGTGAGTAGCTGGTTACAGAATTGAAAATATCTATCCCCATTGTTATTTTTAAAGAATATATGAGGAATTTGTACACTGGATTTGGTACACTCTGTCTACATTACAATGGCCGTGTAGTAGTTTTCTAATTCTGTAGCCACTTAGACTTATTTATCCTCAGAGCTGTTATTCCTAAATTGGGAGCAATTATCTTGCTGGCTGAGAGACCTGAGAAAACAAGGAAAGAAATGGGTTCTTACATCCTATCAAATAGCAGTGTTCATCATTAATGCTCTACATGTTCTGATGTCAGGTGTTTGCACAGCTCTCTCCTGTGGCTTACACTGTGTGAACATAGCACTGGAGGATGATTGAAACTGCTGAGTGTGATGAAAAAGTCATGTCTGAATTATGGCAAAAATCCAATAGTCCATCCATAGTAAAGCTGAGGAATTTTTCATATGGTCAGTTAAAATATGTGTTTTGTCCCATTGTCACAGATGGAATGAACAGGGGAGGGAGAACATTAAATTCAGACAGCTGCAGAATGGCCATCGTGTGGCTCTGGATGTCAGCAGTATGAGTAAACAGAGGTTTAATTCAGACATATTTTCATACCCCAGACTCCTCGTTCCGATTATCTGTATCAGTAAGAATGCAATTTTTCTGGTGCGGGAGTAGCCCTTATTTTTCATGTTCATGGAATTACATTTAGAGTGTTATTTATATGCTTTGCTTATAGTAAGTAACTGCCAGGCATCGAAGCTCTATTGCTAGAGCTTAATATTTAAAACAGATTGCACAGATGGGGTGTTTTTAGCTACAGTGTTACTCACCCAGAAGAAACGCTGAGTGTTAAGCCTACTAAACCATTCCTGGCAATGACAAACCTGACAAAATTTGGCGATCGTGAACCCTGTGACAAAAGTTGTGCCATCTGCCGGCCAAGGAGGAAAGTGCTCGTTAGGCGCTGCGGCCCTGGGTCGAGAGCTCCGACGTGATTCCAGCAGGAGGAGAAGCTGAGAGTTTTGCAGAGCTCTTCAGCAGCTGAGCAGAACAGGCCTGGGCAGGAGTTTTCTCACAGCAGCTTCTTCCATCCGAAAGTGCTGTTTTGTGATAATTGAAACTTTCTGTGGGAGCGTGTCAATGAGAAATGGAAATGTTCTGTTCTAAAAATATACTAACATTCTGTTTCAGAATTTTTTGCACATGGAACACTGATTTTTATTCCAGAATGATTTTTTTAAAAAGTAATTACTTTTGTAAATTATAGAAACAAATTGAAATTGTCGTCTTTGTGTTAAGCAATAATGGAACCTCGCATCATCGCTATAGCACGTGGTAAATGACCACTCAGTCCTGTGTCTCACTACTCATGGTTGTGTATGTGCTCTGTGGGGAGAATACATCAAGAGTGGGACGTTCCTTTCATTCACATCAGGGAGACTGCAAATGGGAAGATAACTTCGTTTTTCTTATATTTGCATCTTTATGTTTTTACTGTAATTTTGCATTAATTATTAAATTGCTACTGTAATTTAAAGAAAAACTGTTTTGAGCTTATACTCCTGTTAGTAATTCAGTATACACAAAGAGTTTCCAGTTACAGCCAAAATCATACCAATCAAATACTCAGAAGGAAAGAAGCAGAGAACTAAAGATAACTCTCAAGGCTTTCATTGGCATAGCTTTGTAAGTTTAGTTCTTGTCAAAACAAGAAGATAGCCTTTGCATATTATGCTGCAAGGAAATGAATAAATTAAAAAGGCTGGATTTGATTAGTGATGGATCCAGGTGTTATTATAACTGCATCTTTCTTTAAAATTGGGCTCCAGAAAATTTTTATGACTTCTGAATTATTATTTTCAGAAAGAAAGGAAGTATAATGGTTCTGATACCATCAGTCATGACAGATATCTGTCTGTCTGTCTCCATCCACACCTATGTGGCAGCCAATTACAGTGTTAAAAAACGTTCAGATGCACACAACCATGCTGAATTTATATTCACAGGCACTGTTTCTAATTTTAGATTTCCTTACTTTTTCAATACATTCTAATGAATTTTCTAATGCAATTAGAAAAAAAGGAACCAGGTCTTGAAAACGGGAGGTGTGCCTACACTGTCAGGAAATACTTAGATTCAGGCATTATGAGTTCTGTTCTGTGACGTGTTGGGGACTCTCCTGCACAATCAGAGAGACCCCTCTCTTGCTTTTTATTTTTGTTCTTACCCCCCTTCTTGAGTTCCTGTCTTTTATAGCCCCTTGACGGTTGTACCTTCACCCACTTTTCCATCCCATTCACTCTGTTTCAGTTTTTACCACTAATTTGCTGTTTTCTTCTCACCCCAGCCATGTTATGCCACCCTGCCTCTGTTCTTTCCACTTCTGTATCTTCTGACCTTTCTTGGTAGCTATCTCATCTCTGCAGATCATCCTTTGTCTGTTATGCCGAGGCCTCCTGATCCTGTTCCCATCTCTTTCGCATTCTCTGAGTAGACTTCCCCTTCCTCCTCACTGACTGTAGAAGCACAGCACACAAAAGCACCCATTCCCAGCTATTGAGTATAAAGTCTTGATGCCACAGCAATCCTAGCAGCTGGGAGGAGCAGAACTGCAGCTGTGGCGGAGGGCATTTCCACTGTGGTTTCACGTAATGTGGTCTTTAACAACAAAATCAGTGAAGTGTTATCATTTGTAGGACCTCACCCTGTCACTGACCCTTTACAGGATGGAGTAGCATTTCAAACTGGTGAACTGATCTGGCATTGAAGTATTTATTTATTTATTGTTTTGTATTTTTGGGGTTTTTTTTTCAGCTGAATAAGTTATCACATCCATACGGAGGGAAAACATATTTTATTTTGCAAGAAATATTTGGTGCTTTTTAGCTAATGCATTGCACCAAAAACTCAACCTTTGGAAGATAACCAGAACAGAAAAATCTGTCCAGTCTCAAAATGATGCACAGCCTAATAATGGAAGAAGGCACACAAATTTTAGCTGTCTCAAGAGTTTGTAATTTTGTCTTGTGATCTGTAGTATTTGTTCATCTCTGCTGAATGAAAATCTGGCAATCAATGTGCTTCGCTGGGTAGTTATCATAATATGTATGGGGAATAATAAATCTGCTTTATTTAGGATTCTCTCAGCTGGCCCTGTTATCTCATCCAACAGAACAACCACTAGTGATAGACTGGTAGCAATATTGATTTGTTTAAAGAAACTAACAGGTAAAAAGGTTTCTTTGTTTTATTTTGTTCTTTAAATGATCCACTCCAGTAAATTAATGAAAAAATATTTCACATATCTAAGAGAGGCTCCCTTGTTCTATATTGGCTTGTTTACCCATATTTGGTTGAGATTCTTCTTGTAATCTGCAAAATTATTTCTGCCATTGTTTTAAATATAATACAGTAAGATTTGATGCAGTGATTCAGTTTGTGCTTATAGAAAATTGAGGCAGATGAGTTACACAGATTTACATATTTGCAAATATATGCAAATACCCAGTATTGCCATATGGTCTTAGGTCCCCAGAAGTGCTGGTGACCTACTTGAGTATTTCAGTTAACAGAATATAAGCTTTTGCCTCTTCATGTTTTATACATTTCAAAAGGCAGTATTCTTCTTATTTTCTATGTAACATTTCTGAAAAGGATCCTGCAATGTTTGAATTATGCTAAAGCATCTCTGAGATCAAAGTCTTCCTCGTTGTTTTCTGTAGCTGGATTGCTGTTTTCTGCTGCAGAAGGCAAGAGATCCTCATTTGTGAATTCTCTGGGAAAGCTAGGAGGGGCTGGAAAGCCCAAAAGTTGTTTCCATGGTTTTCCAGGACATCTGGGGCGAGGAGATTCTGGGCGATCTGGCAACTCATTAAATAAAGAAGTGTCAGGAACAATTAGTGGCTCTGTAGGTCTACTGGTTTCCTCCCTTGCAACCCCTGTACTAACCAGCTCCAGTGCAGTTTCAGCACTTGATGATGGGAGGGTTTCATTTTGATTAAAACCCCTTTCATTTAACTCCTCAGAAGATTTGAGGTTTGGATGTTTATGTTTATTCTTTTTATTGTGTTTTTTATGCCCACACCCATGGCCACTTCTGCGCCCGTAACCAATGTCATGCCTATGCCTTTTGTCACTGTCATGATCCTTTTGAACTCCATGCCTGTGCTTATGCCTGTGTTTGTGCCTGTGTTTGTGCTCAGGTTCACCTTCGCCTTCTGGTTCCTGTCCATTGTCTTTCCTCGTTTCTGTGCTAGGGCTTTGACTTTCTTCTTCATTTTTATCAGCATGTGAAACTGCATGTGGCTGGCTTAGCATCCCAGTGCTTCGGAAAGGTGTGAATCCAGGAGGCCTTCTTGCAAAGAACACCTAAAAAACATTGCAATAGTAGCCACATTTGTTATGTGAAACAGAACAATTGCTTCAGATGTGGGAAGTTCAGAAGCTGGCTCATTGCAGTGCCTGAATCATTTAAAACTAACATCTAAACTAAACAAGTCTCTCTTCTGAGATAAGCATACAAACATGAACATCCTCCCAAATAATTCAGGAGTATTTTAGCAACTGTATGTGTAAAAGAAAAATTTCTGAAGTTTTCTGATTATCACCGAAGTTTTGTCAGTGTAAGAGAGGAATTATGCTACAGAGAGTAAAACAACTGTACTGGTTTTAATTTATGAACAAGACAGTTGGATTCTAGGGAAATGTCCCAGCACTTGTTAGAGTGTTACACTCCCATGTATAGCACCAATTTATGCTGAAAGTTAACACATCTCTGAATAGCATCAATGGCAGGATATACAGAAGATATGTGTAATTTTGTTCTATCAAATGGAACTATTCAATTTTTTACTTCTAGATTTGACATATGCACTTCAGAATACTGCCTGGAAATAACACACAGAGATTGAAGCTGATAATATCAAACATTCTGTTGTTATTGAGTCATCTGTACTCCCTCATCAGTGTTCAACTGGAAGACAAAGACTGTGAATACGTGGTGTACAATCACTGTACAACACGAGTTTCATTTCTCTCCACCAAAGTCTCTGATCATTATCTAGCTGCAAATCAGAGTTATTTGGGTTGAAGCTAAATTGGAAAGTTGACATGGATAAAATATTGTAGTGAAAATAGAGAGGAGAGACATTAGTCGATACATAACAAATGACTATGTAGTTATGAAGGTTCTGAGCACAGTGAAGTTATTAGTTACAAGGGTAGGGTAATCTGTCTTTATTCATTATCACAATGGAGTCTCTGCAATCCTCAGAAATATCTGATAATAAAAATATATTTGTATCCCATTGTGAGATTTTCAAATGACTCGTATTCAGGGCTAGTTCATCGTGGAACTGAGTAGGAAGAAATTGGAAGATCCTTGTGCAGAGACTGACAGCTGTGGCAGGCACCACTCGACTAATATGGAAAGGTTCACAGATGCTTTGGAAAGCTGTGGAGTATAATTACTGAGCCAGCAAATACATTTTCATTTAAACTTTTAAACCTAGTATGAGTAGCAATTTGAGGGATTTGATGGGGCTTGATACTCCAGAGCTTAACTGAGAATGCAGAGGAGCAGCCAACAGGCAGAACTTCTCCTTGTCCCAGTGTCTTTGTTTCTGTGATCGCCTTGTTGGTGATTGTCTCACCTTCTGGTGAAACTGCTTTGATGTAACAGGTTGTTGAGGTTAGAGGGTGAGAGAAAGTATGACAGTATGACATTAATGAGGCTGTTAAAAGAACTGTGTTCCTTTATTTTTGGTATAAAATTTGGAATGGATAAAGAATTTGTTGACTGCCTTTGTCCTACACTCTGCTTAATAGGATGAATAATGAAGAAGAATCTTACCACTTGCTGCTCTTCAGAGCAGTTCACCTGGGGATAAATTTTATTCTGCCATGGGATCACGTGAATTTGTGCATTGCATGACAGTGATGCCTGTTAACAAAACAAAAACCAACACATTAAAGCAACAAAACTTCAGATACAAAGGAAGAGACTTGGGCCTGAAAAAGAAATGTTGGGTTTTTTTTTAATAATACTTTAAAATCCTTGGAACTTTAACCAAGTGTTTATTAAATCTGTCTTAGTGATGGATACTTCTGTATTGGGACACATCACAGCTTAGATTTTCAAGGTTGTAGTATGCCTGTGTGAACACTTTAATTCAACTTTGGATTTCAGATTAAATCTTGAAAATTGGATTTTTCATCTCCATCACTTTTGGAGCACTAACTGCATAATCTTCATGATATTCCTAAGAAATATTTTTTGTTTATGGTGTTTCTCCTACTAAAAATAGGGAAATTTAAATAAAGCCTTATTTTTTCTTTCTAGTGCCTGCTGCACTAACAAAGTCTAAAATCTCACAGGTAAACACTGTTCATATGGTGGGAAAAGAGATGGGAGATAAAGGCCCTCTCCCCAAACAATCCCCTTGCCAATGGTTTCTGGCCCTATCAGCATTCCTTTCCAGTGTCCAGAGCACATTTTCCCACTATCAACAGCATGGCACACACTCCAGAAATGTCATTCCTTTGCTCACAAGTAACAATCCTGTCTCATGTTTTCCTTAGCTGCAAGTCCACAGAGTCAGGAATATTGCAGCTATATCATTTGGCAGCAGCCTTCTCCTCTCCTTTCTTTGATTGATTATTTTCAAAAGAAAGTTCCTTTGGTTTTGCAGTGAGCACTGATCCTGCAGCTGCAGTTCAAGTTTCAGGGTTTCTTAACTTGGGTTACAAACAGTGAAAGCTGCCCTTCTTCTTGGAACAAAAGTTTACTGAAAGAGGTAACAGAACCCAGGATGTGGTTTTACTTAAGGGTTTACAGTTTCTGATGCAAATGAATTTGTCCATTAGAAACATTACAGTTGGCAAGATTATCATTACTTACACTGTTTGATGTGGCTGTACAGTCTTCAGTAAGTTTTTCAAACTCACTCTTAGAGCAGTTTGTCTTCCAGACTGTAAATTTTACTCGATATTTTTTTCCTGCAACCACCTGAAAAATTAGTAAGAAAGCTTTCTGCGCTAAAAGTGTTTTATTGAAAAGGTTTCACAGGAAAGATCATTTTCTGTAAGCTTGTACCACTTGTATTCTACAAGTCCTAAGCACTGAGCCAACATATGTGAAGAACAACATTAAAATATTTGGCAGTAAACTTATTTGTTTCTAATCCAGTAACTTATTTACTCCAGTTCCTAATCTCAAAAATTCTAGCATTGAAGCTGAAGGAAACAGAAAAGGTCAGAATAATATTGGGCACACAATTATTAAGTGTCTGTAGTAATTTCATTAGTAACAGATGAAATCATTAGTGATAGCACTGTACAGAGCCAAATACTATGTCAGAAAAGTGGAATGTGAGTAAAACAAAGTGTGTGATGAACGGGCTCAGTTGAAAATGAACCTATTTGCCAAACGCATTAAAGAGAGAAGCTGCATGGGTTCAAGAATGTGCCTGCTATGAGTTCTCTTAGTATTTTTCACAGAGCTTGAAATAATATATCTTCCTTCGGGGACATCAGGCAAGACATGAAATTTTATTTCCCTGAAATCTGTTTTAAAGGTGTATGCGTGCTGATGTTAGTCATGATAGGGAAAGTCAGAAGGAAGAAAAAAGTTTGAAAGAAAAAAAGGCACCAATATTTTCAGTAAGATAATATGAGCTATTTGGAAAAATTCTGGTGTGCTTTTAGTGCCCTCTCCAGTGACACTTCATGCTCAGGAGTGGTTATGACCAAGTATTTTCTGAACTACTCCACTGTCAAATTTTCAATTATCTCCTAAACTTCTGTTTTGATGTATTGGGACAGTAAACAAGGCTTATGCAAATGCTGACCAATATTATCCTCCTGATTCCTCATCCTTTATCAAGCTCTATTTATCTGTATGTATTAAGTTATGCACAGATGTCTTTTTCTGAATCTAGCTAGAGTATTATTAGCAGCACAATCAGTATATAAAAGAACACATTTCTAAGGGAAATTTGGATGCCTCATTTTGGACCATACAACAGCTGTAGGGTGGACACTGCTTAAAATAACATGGAGAGTATCGGTGTGGCAGATCAAGGGAGTAGTCCTGTCTAATAAAACTTTGATACTTTAGAAGTCTAAAGCATGTTACAAAGGTAGAAAGTAGGGTAGATACACAGAAATCAAATGCCCTGAACCAACCTTCTTCACATCCTTTTAAACATTTTGTTTTAAGAAAAAAAGAAAATTCGAGAGATGGGAAATTTTTGAATACAAGCCAATATGGATTAAATTTTACAGGAAAAATTTTGTGGATATTTCAGTTACCACATGTATTACCACTTAGATAAAAACATTATGCAAATCTAAATACAGACTTCAGGTAACATTCAGCTTAGGCCAATAATAATGTCATCTCTGTGAAATATCCCAACCTGAACTGTTGCTGATTGTATTTCTCCACTTTTATAGTAGAAGTCATCATTGCTCTCTGAATTATACTTCTCTGTAGAAACCTTCAGTAGTTCCTTCAGTTCTGGACTGTCATTTGGGATAGTCCTTGGACAACCTGGGCAAATGGCAGCAACTACCGTTTCTTCAACTGAAAGAGAACAACAGGTTTCAAAGCTAAGAAACTAAAGGTTCAATGTGGATAAAGGCTGGGAAAAACAGTTATAAAGCCCTGCTTTCTGGAACTCTGGAATATTTGGATCTATGAAATGAAAACAAAATATATTTGAGTTTTATATGATCAGCAATATCATATCTTGGTTATCTAAAAGAACATCAGCACCTACTGTCACATGGGACATTTAACAACTGTTCTCTTGTAGAAACAAGAATTGCCTGTGCCAGTTGTAGGTAGCCAGAAAATATGGAGGGGGAACAGCTACATGTATGGAAAGACCTGATTTGGGTGAAACAAGAGGTGCGTGTAACTGGCAGTGAATTTGTGTGCTGAGGAAAATCTAGTCTGAATGGGTGAAAATGCAGCATTTACTACATGGAACAGCATCTGTGTCCAGATAGGCTGGAGGAAAAAATAACAATACATAACAATAAAAGACTGAAAACTTTGGAACTTTCAAAACTGATAGTGCCTAAGACATACCTGGAAGCTTGCAGTCGCTGGCGGTATCTACGATCTCTGCCTGAAGATTCTGAAATGCTTTGGCCTCACATTTAGCTACACGCTGGAGTCAAAAATGCAAAACAGCTCCTTGTTATTTAGAAATAATGAACAAGCTCAAATCCTAATACCTTCCTGCTAACAGAATAAGTCAAGCATGCTTCCAATAATTCCTTCCTTCCTTCCTTCCTTCCTTCCTTCCTTCCTTCCTTCCTTCCTTCCTTCCTTCCTTCC